TTAATATGCTGAATCATTATTAATGGTATATACCTATTACATATTTCTATAAATTAATAAAAAAAATATCTCATTAATCACACTGTCTTAAACAGGCCTATTGAAGTATTATTGAAAAATTGTTTATTATTATTACTATTATTATTATTATTATTGTTTTATACATGAGGCAAAAGTCCCCGTTAGCAGAAATGGTCCATAGTGAGCTGTTTCATAGTTGAGAGTGACCTGTCAAATGGTCCAGAGGAAGCTGTTAGCAGCTCCATAAACTTAACTTTAATTGGTTTTAAGAATGTCAATTTCGAGTTAACAAGAGAGTCCTGGCCAGCAACATATAGCCATTGGAATGTAAACAAGAAACCCATTACAATCACTCACTTCATCTCATGGGCTTCAGTGGCAATAAATAATTTAAGAACCCATCGCTATTCAACAAACCAGCAGGATTTATAACCAGGTTTTTTCCAAAAGCTGGGTGCCATGGACCAGTTCTGTTAACGGCCAAAAATGCAGCATGACATTATTTATCAACCATATTAACATTGAAAACATGAATCAGCCTATGTGGATAAAATTATCACAGAAAATAAACTTATAATTTATAAGATTATTTTTTTTAAACAGAATAGATAACATTTTCTAACGTTTTTTTTTAATTACTGTGAATAGTGATAACAGGCCTATGATACATTAATTATAACTAGATTTGAACTCGTCACTGAGGACGAGTTAGGTGATCCGCCGCACTTTGACCCTCATTAAGATCACGCGGTGCTGATTGAAAAGTGTCATAATATGCTAAAATATGCTGTAATTAGTTTTTATACACATCTAGATGTGTATAAGAGACAGNGATTTCCGCATGTGTACACGTACGTCTTGACGCCCGTGAGTACGGTAATAGCACAAAGAATGACTCCTGATGAATAATGTGTCAGGAACACAAGATATGTAACAAAACGTGATTTCCATCTTTAATATATGCTGTGTGCGTGGAAATGAACGTACGGTGGGTAAATTATGGAAAGTTTTGAAATGCTAAAAATGACCCAAAACGTTCTTTAAACTATCTGAATAGTAATATCGAGAATTTTCAAATTTTAACAGACATGCAAGTCACCATGTGTGCGTGTACAGTAATAGCACACGAAATTAAACATTGTCAAGTGTATTTAAAACTGCCTGTTAGTTAGTAATGTCACACGAACTTTCCCTTCACATACATGTAACCTATATATATTAGTCTGATAGCGTCGAAATACAGTCTGCCGCCCTCACTCTGTTCTATTGTTTGACATCTTTTAAGAGAGAGAGATAAAAGGGCTCCAAAAATTCGATCTTTTTGACCATGTTGACGTGATCAAAATGAAAAATAAATGGACACGTCTTCAAGAGAATTGATTTAGCTATAACATACTCACAGGTGGGAGACAATCAATCAAGAATAAGCGAGATACGTTCAAACGAGTCTAAACATAATGGCATCAAAATAAAAATTCAGTTTTTTAATTCAAATGGCAATATGATGACGTCACAATGTCCGATCAGCCATTATGAAGTAAAAAATCGTATCTACAACTCATGTGCTTTCAGATTATGTAATAAAAATAGGGGGTCACCTTTCATCCTAAGGAGCTATAACTGATTAAAAATATTCATGGTTTTATGCATATATAAATGACGCACGCGTACGTGCACGCTAAAAGGCGCGAACGGAACTAATGCCACACAAACTTTCCCTTCACATAACCTATATATATTAGTCTGATAGCGTCGAAATACAGTTTGCCGCCCTCACTCTGTTGTATTGTTTTACATCTTTTAAGAATGAGAGATGAAAGGGCTCCAAAAATTCATTCTTTTTGACCATGTTGACGTGATCAAAATGAAAAATAAAAAGACACGTCTTCAAGAGAATTGATTTAGCTATAACATACTCACAGGTAGGAGACAATCAATCAAGAATAAGCGAGATACGTTAAACGAGTATAAACATAATGCATCATAAATAAAAATTCAGTTTTTTAATTCAAATGGCAACATGATGATGTCACAATGTCCGATCAGCCATTATGAAGTAAAAAATCGTATCTACAACTCATGTGCTTTCAGATTATGTAATAAAAATTGGGGGTCACCTTTCATCCTAAGGAGCTATAACTGATTAAAAATATTCATGGTTTTATGCATATATAAATGTTGAAGCGCGCGTACGTGCACGCTAAAAAGCGCGAACGGAAAATTAAGGTACAAAACATTTAACCTTGACCTGAAGCTTATGCTTACCTAATATGATTCAGAAATGACGAATGGTTAAGATTATATGGGGTCATCAACGTTTAAAAGAAAGAAAAATGAGGGGGTCAGAAAAAAACAATTTTTTGACCATGATGACGTCATCAAAATCTAAAAAGAAGTCAAATATATGAAAGAGAATTGTCTCAGCTATAACATACTGAAAGTTGAAAGACGATCGACCAAGGATAAGCGAGATACGCTCAAATGCGTATTTTCAAAAATGACGTCATAGCTATAATTCACTTTCTTTGATTCAGACGCCAATATGATGACGTCACAATGTCCGATCAGCCATTATGATCTATAAAATCATATTTACAACTTATGTGCTTTCAGAATATGTAATAAAAATTGGGGGTCACCTTTCAACCTAAGGAGCTATAACTGATTAAAAATAATTCTGATTTTAGCATAATTTCACTGTATAGCGGCACTAATACGCGCAAAGATACCTATGTTTGATGCGCACGTACGGCATTGCTATTGGCCAAAAGATGACCGAAAAGAATGCAAATTTGTGAAAACAATGTCAGGAACCCAAACTATGTAAAAAAACATAGTGTCTAGCTTCCGTACGAGCTGTGTGCGTAAAAATGCGCGCGCGTAGTGGAAAATTTAAAAAAAATTGAAATGCTCAAAATGGCCTGAAACGTGCTCTAATTTAGTCAAAAAATTTTGAGCATTTTGAAATTTTGACGCACGCGTAGTGAAGCGCACGCGTCAAATTAGGGTATAGTACATTCAACATTAACCCGAAGTTAATGCTCACTTAATACGATTTCGAAATGGCAATTGGTTAGGCTGATATTATCGATAATGTAAAAACGCAAAATTGTGCGTAGATGACGTCACGCATGACTGAGCGCGTTGAAAAGATTACCATGACTATTCCAGACCAAGCCAAATGTTCGCTGACAGCGATTTTGCGTAACTCGTGGTAGTTTTTGAGATATCGTGCGAACAGAAAAGGGGAGAAAGAAAGAATAAAAAAAAGATGAAGATGATGATGATCCTGACAATAACTAGAGGTGATCCGCTAGTGTTAGCGGATCACCAATTAATTACAAAATGTAATACCAAATTCTAGATAAGGAGCCTTACCTCGGACTTGGATAGGAAATACACACGTATAAGCATTACCATAAGAATCAGTTGCCGTAAAGACAATCTCAATAGGAGAGTTTCCGACTGGTATCATATCACCTGATTGGTATGGTGACGATACCGTCACATTTTCATTACTATTGTCACTTGTGACAGGCTGATCCCATGTGACAGTAGAATTTGGACTTCCTTCATCTGTGTTCACATATATTACACCATTAGATTCAGCGATGAAGTTGTTTGAAGTAATATTTGTAGGACAAGTTATAACCGGAGGCTCATTATCTGAAACAAAACGATAAATTATTTTATACTACAATGGATCCAACATTCATGTGTGTCTACTGCAGAGTTTGGTTACTGTATTTTTGTTATTTTTAAAAATATTATATTTAATCATGGTAAAAAAGGAAAAGATTAATTGAATTGAATACAGGTTGTAAAACACTGATATTTTGTTAACACCGATGATTACAAACGCAAACCCTAAAAGGTTCTTAAAAGAAGGAAAAATAACTGCAAGTGAAAAAGAATTTATGTTTCCTACAACTGAGCAGTTCCCAGGCTTAATTGCTTGCCTAAAATGCACAAACCAAATTAGTGAAATATTGTGAGCTTCCAGCATGAAATATCATTGTAGTTGGTCAGTTGATGACTTTTAATGAGTAGATAACACAGTTCCTTTTTGTACACTGCAAAGCTTTTATTTAGCATTAACTACTCTACTGTACATATTTACAATTGACTATAACTCCGGGTTTCTCAGATGTTAAAAGAACCTTTAGAGTGGAGTCAGCTCTTAATCTACTTCTACTATTCTCTCTCTCTCTCTGATATTCTCTGTGTCAGTGATGTGGCGTGTTTGCCTATATTATACTCAAGGTACTGGGGGGGGGGGGCGTGTCTAGATTAAGTCACCCATACTTTTAGAGTTTCTGATTGGACCATAGAGAAATTCTTCTCTATGATTTAATAGCTTGTTTACTAAAAAGTTGCTAATTAGGATATATTACAAACTTCATGACTTAAGCTTAAAAAACTTTCAATCATAGATTCATAGTGTGTGAAAGGCCAATTCACTAAGGTGAAGTTATAAATGACCAAATTGTATGATAGATTATCTGTATATTCAGGTAGACTATTCAAGCTGTCAAGTCAATTTATGACATTTAACAGATGAAGGGGTATCGATGATATACAAATTCCAATAGTTATATAAGTTAATATTATTTAACCTTAATACTACATTACATTAGCCTCTTAGGCCCACTGTCGACAACAAAAATACAATTTGCTATAATGTTGCATGCCATCTAGCCAATATTTTGAAACTACTCTACTGTACATATCAATGATGACACCACATCAAATGAAACTTTCGTTTCATTTGATGTGGTATCATAAACCAAGACTTTTGTCACCGAGGCTTTAATAGTAGTGAAAGGCCGTCTTACAGCTGATGCTACCTTGAAAGAGAGAACTAAACTAAATGTAGAACATCATTGAACTCTAGAATTTGTAGTAACCACAACCTACATGTACTTCTCATTCGATGCCAAAATGTACAAACAAATTGAATGTATGGCGATGGGCAGCCCATTCAACCATATAATGGCCAACCTGTACCTAGAATGATTAGAGCAACATGTAATAAATATAACACCACATAAAATCAAGCCTTCTGGAAACAGTATGTCTATGATGTATTGGCTATCATTCCCAAAGGTACTTCACAAACACTAAGCACATATTTAAACAATCGATGCTACTAAGAACACCAAATTCACCACTCATAGACGACAACAAAGTATTCTTATACATGTTCATAACACTCGACGGAACAGTTACAGTACTACATCTGTATTTAGGAAGCTCACTCACACCAATTAACATCAACATTTTAATTCGCATCATCCACTCGAATATACTATTTACGCGTAAAGTGGGTCCACCCTGATATTGTTCCGCACTGTGCGCTATATAAATATAACATTATTATGATTGATTGTAAAGATAAGATAAGATAAGATACATTTATTGCTCTAAGTAGGAAATTCAGTTCTCGCATTAAAATACAATTGACAGCAAAAAATTAAAACAATGATCAAATATAATAAACTATAATAATTACAATGTAAAAGAGATATCAAACTACGACCATTGAAACATTAAAAGTCACCAAAACATTATTATTATCATTATTAGTATTATTATTATTACAGTTACTACCGTTTTCATTTTCATCATCATTATTATCATAATTCATCTTTTAAATGTTTTGTTAAAAACTCTTACACCTTGCGGCGGCCTCAGTCTAATATTCATCGAGGCATTATATAGAAAATTCATTACCTCCACCTATCCAATTTTTGTTCCAACAAATTTATTTCTCAATTTCCGAGTATAAGACAGTATTTATTTACTGACTTATTAATAGATGAAGACTCAGTCGGTTTTGCAGCTATCGTTAATAATAATAGCCTTAATGCATCAGGCATCCCCAATATGGAGAAACATTTCTATTTCTCATTAAGGGTACACCTTCTGCGATTTAGAGAACACATCAATCTTTAAAAAAAAATAACCCCAAAAATAACTGAAATAGGTTTCATCATTTTTTCTGATTATGTAGGCATCAAAAAAAATAATTTGAAAATCTACCAAAATTGATTTACTTTATATTTTAAATGAGATTTCAAAGTCAACACTTTCAAAATTATTTACCATAATTAAGAAACAAATAGGTGCGAATAATGTGCTTTTGTTCTAAAATTTATATTGAAATTTTGATTCTTTTTTTGTTTGTATTTGATCGTTGGTCATTAACAATTTTTTAAGATTCAGAAAGGACATATAAAAAAAAAAAACTATTAAAATTCTCCTTTGTGTGTGTGTGTGTGTGTGCAAGACTTCCTATATTTACTGTATCCTCGTTGAAGTTCTCAGTCTTATAGTAATCCTCTCACTTTTCATGGACAATACTATTCACATTTGTATTTGCATAAAAATCTAATTATTTGCGTATTCATTCAATTTTGTATTCTTTTTTAACACTATAATGGCAGCAATATATCAACATAACAGGATAGGTACACTTACTGGATCATATTAAATCTTGATCCTCTGACATATAGCATATAGCCTGACTTGCCTGACTTGTTAGATCCTGCAGTAAATTCTACATTGAGACTGAAATAATCTAACAGTACCTAATTGTTTTCAGTTTTGTTGTTGTTGTTGAGATTTTACTGTATATTGATTTTTATTATGTATTTTTAATGTTATAAAGTGTTATCGTATTATCATATAATAATATCCTAATTAGAGTACCTTCAACAGTGACAGTAAAGCTACAGCGATCATTGAAGTTACCACTTGAATCTGATACATTGTACTGCACTGTTGTACCACCAATCACAAACATATTGTCACCAGAGGTGTAGTCAGACTCTGGTTCTGGTGTCTCTCCAGAGTTATCAGTAGCTGTTGGCTCCGTCCATGTGACATTGATAGCAACTGGTTCCCCATTTGTTGTGTTAACTGTTATATTCATTGGACAATCTACAATCTCAGGGTTCTCTTGATCTTTGAAAAAAAAAATTGGTAAATTAAAATGAAAATATCATCTTAGAAACATTTTATTTTAGACTAACAACAAGCCCTGATAAACAACAATACAATAACATTGCTACAATCTATAGTAATGTGATCAAATATCCTAATTGTAGAGTTTTGAACTTATAGGATTAGGAATTTGGTTCCACATTGGAATAATTCGATTAAAGCAGAATCTTCTTTAAATTTCAGTTTTTGTGAACAAGTTGAGACGGGAACGTGAAGAAACGAGGGAGTCATTAAGTTCAATAACAACTATCAAAATCCAAATCATAATAATAATGTATTAGTGCAAGTCAGGCTATATGCTATATGTCAGAGAATACCAATCCAACTTCATATGAGGGGTACACAGTGATTGAAAAAGTCTGCGTGGTGATAGGACACAAGCACATCTGGATGCACAACCCTTCATCTAAGAAACTACACTGTATAAAGATATATATAGACATAACAAGATTCAAGTCCAGAATTGAGAATGGTTTTCTTATTAAGAACTAGTGTACTGGTTCATGATTGGATGTTATATATGCAAATCAATTGTTGTTAATAGCTATTAACTTTAAAAGTCCATGGCAAGTGAGTTTATTTCTTCATGACATTAACAACGGCTTGTGAAGGAAATGATTAAATCCAGTTTTTTACATGATATCGTACATTTGTTTCTTTTTTAAACTTTTGACTTCCTATATTTACTGTATCCTCGTTGAAGTTCTCAGTCTTAATGTAATCCTCTCACTTTCATGGACAATACTATTCATATTTGTATAAAAATCTAATTATTTGCGTATTCATTCAATTTTGTATTCTTTTTTTAACACTATAATGGCAGCAATATATCAACATAACAGGATAGGTACCCTTACTGGATCATATTAAATCTTGATCCTGCAGTAAATTCTACATTGAGACTGAAATAATCTAACGGTATCTGTTTGTTTTCAGTCCCAATTGCTAAACATGTCTTTTTTGTTTCTTTTCTTTACTTTTACTGTTCCTGTCCCTTGTTGTTAGGTTTCGTTGTTTTTTTAATGTATATGAGATTTTATATTGATTTTTATTATGTATTTTTAATGTTATAAAGTGTTATCGTATTATCATATAATAATATCCTAATTAGAGTACCTTCAACAGTGACAGTAAAGCTACAGCGATCATTGAAGTTACCACTTGAATCTGATACATTGTACTGCACTGTTGTACCACCAATCACAAACATATTGTCACCAGAGGTGTATTCAGACTCTGGTTCTGGTGTCTCTCCAGAGTTATCAGTAGCTGTTGGCTCCGTCCATGTGACGTTGATAGCAACTGGTTCCCCATTTGTTGTGTTAACTGTTATATTCATTGGACAATCTACAATCTCAGGGTTCTCTTGATCTTTGAAAAAAAAAATTGGTAAATTAAAATGAAAATATCATCTTAGAGACATTTTATTTTAGCCTAACAACAAGCACTGATAAACAACAATACAATAACATTGCTACAATCTATAGTAATGTGATCAAATATCGTAATTGTAAAGTTTTGAACTTATAGGATGAGGAATTTGGTTCCACATTGGAATAATTCGATTAAAGCAGAATCTTCTTTAAATTTCAGTTTTTGTGAACAAATTGAGACGGGAATGTGAAGAAACGAGGGAGTCATTAAGTTCAATAACAACTATCAAAATCCAAATCATAATAATAATGTATTAGTGCAAGTCAGGCTATATGCTATATGTCAGAGAATACCAATCCAACTTCATATGAGGGGTACACAGTGATTGAAAAAGTCTGCGTGGTGATAGGACGCAAGCACGTCTGGATGCATAACCCTTCATCTAAGAAACTACATTGTATAAAGATAGATATAGACATAACAAGATTCAAGTCCAGAATCGAGAATGGTTTTCTTATTAAGAACTACTGTACTGGTTCATGATTGGATGTTATATATGCAAATCAATTGTTGTTAATAGCTATTAACTTTAAAAGTCCATGGCAAGTGAGTTTATTTCTTCATGACATTAACAACGGCTTGTGAAGGAAATGATTAAATCCAGTTTTTTTATATGATATCGTACATTTGTTTCTTTTTTAAACTTTTGACTTCCTATATTTACTGTATCCTCGTTGAAGTTCTCAGTCTTAATGTAATCCTCTCACTTTCATGGACAATACTATTCATATTTGTATTTGCATAAAAATCTAATTATTTGCTTATTCATTCAATTTTTTATTCTTTTTTTAACACTATAATGGCAGCAATATATCAACATAACAGGATAGGTACCCTTACTGGATCATATTAAATCTTGATCCTGCAGTAAATTCTACATCGAGACTGAAATAATCTAACAGTATCTGTTTGTTTTCAGTCCCAATTGCTAAACATGTCTTTTTTGTTTCTTTTTTTTTACTTTTACTGTTCCTGTCCCTTGTTGTTAGGTTTCGTTGTTTTTTGAATGTATATGAGATTTTATATTGATTTTTATTATGTATTTTTAATGTTATAAAGTGTTATCGTATTATCATATAATAATATCCTAATTAGAGTACCTTCAACAGTGACAGTAAAGCTACAGCTATCTTTGAAGTTACCACTTGAATCTGATACATTGTACTGCACTGTTGTACCACCAATCACAAACATATTGTCACCAGAGGTGTAGTCAGACTTTGGTGTCTCTCCAGAGTTATTAGTAGCTGTTGGCTCCGTCCATGTGACGTTGATAGCAACTGGTTCCCCATTTGTTGTGTTAACTGTTATATTCATTGGACAAACTACAATCTCAGGGTTCTCTTGATCTTTGAAAAAAAAATTGGTAAATTAAACTGAAAATATCATCTTAGAAACATTTTATTTTAGCCTAACAACAAGCCCTGATAAACAACTAGTGGAGGGGCTTATATATTTTTGTTCGCAATTCATGTTAATTTATGGCAAAAACGCTTTTCCGACTCAGAATTTTATACTGAACAAGGAAAATGTTGGTGCCAATTTTTTCGAGAAGGTTAAGTGGCCGCCATCTTGGAAAAAAAGATGGTGGACACATCTAGTCAAACATATCATTATTTGGTATCATTGGAAAGGAATAATGCACTAAATATTTTTTCCCATTACACTAATTTAAGAAAAATGAATAGTAACGGAGATATTCGCCATTAAACATGTCATTGTTTGCTGCCCTCTATTGGTGAAAATTTCATTTTTGTAGTTCTTTGTACAAATTTACCTGATTTCTCAGTTCTAATACCAATAATTTGTAGATTCTTGTTTGTAACTGGACCGATACACTGATAACAAAAACATTTTTATTCATGCTTATTATTTTTTTCATAAAAAAAATTGAAAATCATAATTTTTGTTGCCTATAACCTTTATAGTATTGAGATTGAGAGTTTCCTGATATATTTTTTTAAGTGCACATCAACACCCAACAGCCACAATTACATAATATTAATACAATAATTACATATTCTTACTACAGGATGAAACTATTACCCTTCAGACAACATGCTGGTATTTCTGAGACTTCTATAATTTCCGGGGGCCAAAAACAGAATCATTTAGCATAAACAAAAGGAACATAAAATTAAATTGCTTGATTGGGAGCGATTTTCATTAAAAAAAAAAAAAGTGTTAATCATAATATAGCCTGTTATCTACAATCCAAGTTTTAATAGGTGAAACTATCCCCGCCGGAGACCATCCTGGTACTTCTGAGTTTAGGGTTAAACAAAATCATTTGGCAGAAAAACTAAGGTGACATGAAATGTTTTTGATACTCAGAGCTATGGATAAGGCCTTTTTTTTTTTTTGTATTTTGTCATTTTAGCATTATTTCTTATTTCAATGGGACTATTTCGGAAACAAGCAGAAATGCTTTAAGGGTTATTCTGAAATTCTCCGATTGTTGGGTTTTTTTAACACTTTGTTTACCTGTGAGAATTACGAAACAAATTGCATCAAATTATAATAATGTCAGATTATAGATAATGGATTCACATAATATTAGGCACTTCTCATAAAAAATTAAAAGTGGGTAAATAATTCCCTGTCCAACATCATCATTCTGAGTCTAGGCTAAAATAATATTATTACATAATTGACAGTAAAGAAAAAAAATAAGTGAGCTGAATCATGACTGCCTAATTTTGAGAGCTATAGTAGGCCTAATATCAAATTGTTAGAAATTAGTATTATACTAATTTCTAACAATTTGATTGACCTCAGATGATAATACAAATGGAGTGATCTAATACTATTTTATAAAAACCCTAGTGTCCAGCACATCTCAGTTTCCTCTATACTAGGTGGTTTTAAGCAACAAGAAAGTATTATCAATTGCAAGTTACCCCGACAGAAACATTGACACTGTTGGGGTCCCAAGTCTTCCAGAACTAACAAGTCAAGAAGTCTCCGGGAAATCAAAACGGTCTCCCGCACTCCTGCAAACAAGCAAGAATCTCTGAAAATTTATAATTTTGCATGTTTTCACTGCTTTATTATTAATGTTCTAAGGCAGTCAGTGCCAGTGGGCATCACTATGTGTAGCAAAATATAAAGAAATGTATTAAGATCAGTAGTACAGTACAGGGAGGAGGAAAGCCGGCCGGGCCTCCTGAATATAAAAAAAATAGGGTAGAAATGAAAATTATATTCAAATTTGTCTGAGAGGGCCATTTCTGGCCATCTAAATGTGTCACAATCATAAATATTTTCTTCAGCTCCATCCATGGTGGGGCTGATGTGGTTCACAACCTCAATCAATGAAAGTCCCTCCCTGCCCCTTCGACCCATCACCGCAAATCTCCCAGAAATAACTTCTTCCAACTTGGAACCTATGTATTACTATAGGTGCCCGCTTTTTGTAGGCAAATTTTTTTTTTCTTGATACGAAGAGTTGTTTCAGCTAGGTTTGCCAAACAATACTGTTCCAGCGAAATTGTGCCTGTCGTACCAAGCATGAAGGCTGTTAATTCATCATCCTTTGATTTTGTTTAGTTCCAAAAATTAGACAGAAATAGATAGAGCAGAGAACTTTAATTATAAAAATTAAAATAAAATGTGCCTGTTATCACTGTAGGTATATCCATAATCTACAATTATTATTTAGACCTATGGTCAATATCAAGAAATTGTCACCTTTTTGGTTGTAACCCCCAAAATCTGGATTCACAAGCACCGAGATGGTTTCTGGTGTGAGATATTCTCATTTTTCAAAACTTCTACATAAAAAGTTTTAACCATAGATAAATCTGTTATCATATTTATCTGAATAAACATCTCCTCTAGAGCCTCATTTGGAATAAACGCCTTAATTTTTTCCTCAAATAATCAACTCCCACCCAACCAAATGACAGTAAACAAAGCAACATCATTGTCAACACATTCTATTGATTTTCACTCCAGTAGAATTACATTTTTTCCATTCATTTTGATAGTAATTATGTGTTGTACTGAAATTTAAGGGCATATACAGTATTTTGAGTATATACGCATCAAATTCACACCAAAAGAAAAAAATAATAATAATAAACGCCTCCCTAAAATAAACGTCCCCTCAAAACCTTTCTTAACAATGAAAGTCCCTGGGTATATATTCCAATAAATATGGTATTTAAGATTACTCTGATAATCAAGCGGCTTGCTTAACGATTTTGTTTTTGCCGAGACTGGAAAATACCAGGATATTGCAGCTGTATTAACATGCACTTAAACAAATAATATTGATAGGAAACTGCCACTGCAATGACAAATAATATGGATTTACATTGTTTAATAAAAAAAAATACCCATGAATACAAATGAAATTTGTTTATCAATGTATCAAATTAGTTACAAACATACAGTAAGACTCTACAAAATATCTGTATTAGAACCAAGAAAACCAGTCAACTTCCTAGAAACAACAATAAAATTAAATTTTCACCAATAGAGGGCAGCAGACAATGATGTGTTTAATGGCGAATATCTGCGTTTCTATGCATTCCTTCATATTAGTGTAATGGGAAAAAATATTCAGTGCAGATTTCCTTTCCAATGTTACCACATACAATAATACTATGTTTGACCAGATGCATCCGCCATCTTGTTTTCCAAGATGGTGGCCAGTTAACCTTCTCGAAAAAATTGGCACCAACGTTTTTCTTTTTCAGTATAAAATTCTGGGTCGGAAAAACATTGTTGCCATAAATTAACATGAATTGCAAACTCGAGCCTATTTTGCTACGTAAGTCCCTGTACTAAACAATACAATAACATTGCTACAATCTATAGTAATGTGATCAAATATCCTAATTGGTAGAGTTTTTAACTTATAGGATGAGGAATTTGGTTCCACATCGGAATAATTCGATTAAAGCAGAATCTTCTTTAAATTTCAGCTTTTGTAAACAAATTGAGATGGGAGCGTGAAGAAACGAGGAAGTCATTAAGTGCAATAACAACTATCAAAATCCAAATCATAATACCCATGTATTAGTGCAAGTCAGGCTATATGCTATGTGTCAGAGAATACCAATCCATCTTCATATGAGGGGTACACAGTGATTGAAAAAGTCTGTGTGGTGATAGGACACAAGCACATCTGGATGCACAACCCTTCATCTAAGAAACTACATTGTATAAAGATAGATATAGACATAACAAGATTCAAGTCCAGAATCGAGAATGGTTTTCTTACTAGTGTACTGGTTTATGATTGGATGTTATATATGCAAATCAATTGTTGTTAATAGCTATTAACTTTAATTTAATAAGTTAATATAAGGTAAAATAAGTGTATTATATAACGAAAATAAGATATTGGAGGGAAGCGTGTATTTTAATTTAGATAAAAATCCAACGTTTCTAGAAACTATTTTTGTGAAATTGGCAATATGACATTTCCAACTGAGTTCATAGTCAATTATGACTCCCAGAAATTTTGCACTGGAAAAATAATGACCATCAATAAGAATATCATATGGCAATTCTTTGTTGCATTTCTTACTATGATCAGGGAGTTGTTATTAGAAGGAGTCACAACAAAATCCTCTCTTTTGATCAGTCTACTTTTCCGACAAGATAAGAAAGCAGAGAGGTAGATAACGACGAGGTTCAATTACCGAATATGAGCATGCGCAGTAAACCTTCTTATGCTTGTGTGTGACGAAAAAGCATGGCAACTATAGAGAGTGTCAGTTACCAACTACACGCTACGTCAAACCGATAAACAAATATGCCCCTATATCATTTCCCTGCTATGAAAACATGTTCAGTTTGAACTCAAATTACGTTTCTGTACGAAACTGTAAGAAAATGAGACATAAAGAAAATGATAGTTAACGAGTTGCATAAACTATTTGTCCTAGTTATAAAATGGAGATACGTGCGGAAAATATAAAATATAAGCTTTAAAACTTATCAAAAACCTATGAAAATTACAAATGACGGTGTACGAACAAACACATATAGCTCCACTTCAAATAGTCGTAACTTTTAAACGAAAAGGCGAATTTTTATGCGGTTTTTTGTAAATTATTCTTCGTAAAACTCTTTTGAGATGCAAATTTATTGAACAGCGAAAATTGAATAAAAAAACTCTGCGCATGCTCTACTGGTCGTTTGTCACGAAATTATTTTCTCTACAAAGACAAAATTTTAACAACTGAGGGCGCAAGATCGTCGGAAAAGTACCCTATTGACAAAAAACAGGCAGTTAGTCACAGTTCTCTTTGAAGATTCGGTACACTGCGCTTCGCTCATTGGCTGTAGATAAATAGATAAATGTGTTGTGACTCCTTCTAAATAACAACCCCCT